GAAGATAGCCATTGGAAAATTGTGTGGGCTAGGGGCTTTTTCTTTCCTAAGCTTAGAAATACCTAGGGAAATTTCGTCTGGGTCAAAGGGGCGTTTGAATCCATCAAGCCTGTCCTTGGAAATAAGCAGAAAAGATTAAGTAAAAATGGCGGGTCTAGGATTCGATTGGGCCGAGAATAGGTTTTGGATATACGAGATGATGGTGCTAGCAATAACAAGGCACGTTCTTAACAGTCGATAAGTTAATAAGGATATTTTGGGCCCACTGCTTTATGTAATTCTTGAGAAGACTGAAGGTCATCTAGAAGGATGGGTTTGTGGTCTAAAGTGGGTCTACAGAGTGAAGAGCAGTGAGAGCCCGAGAAATGCACTTCCCACTCATGAGAGACAAAAAAAGAATCTAGCTTGGTCATGGTGGGGTCCACAATGTCATTGGACCAAGTGTAAGCAAAACCCCTGAATGGGATTTCGATGAAGTTGTGGCCAGATATGAAATTAGAGAAGCATGTCATTCTAGCATTAATTGTAGCAGGTAAATTGGTTTCATGGATCCATCTAATGGTAATAAAACACCAACCAATCACCCGAGGGTTGATGGCCAAGGACATAATACATCAAATCCAGACCAAAAAGCTTCTCTAAGATTAGATCTATTAGGGCCATACACAACACCGATTTTCCACCGAAGATCATTAAGGCTGAGAATGGGTCGGATCGAGTCTGGATTTCGATCCAAAAAGTATACATGGGATCAGGATCCGGCTCTGATAGAATCCAGAATATTCGTATTCGGATCTTGATCCAAAAAAATATACATGGGATCCAGATCCGAATCCGGACTCAGACCAGGACCCGGACCCGATCCAAAGAATTATTTTATATATTATTTTGTATTTATAAAATAATATATCACAAGAAATATTATATATGTGCATCTAAATGATATACAATATTTTAATAACTGGGTCGGATCCAGATTGGATCCACCTGTGCCCAGATTCCGATCCAAATTTTGGATCCAAATCCAAATTTGGGATCCAGATCCAACTCGTCGATTCAAATCTTGGATCCATACCCTGATCTGGATAGGGCCCAAAATTCAAGTTTCGGATCCAAACTGCATAAATTCATAACCCTAGAGATCATGACAAGCTCTAAACATCACAGTGGAGACCAAGTACGTTCCCACCAAGTTATAAGAGAGTAGAGGGTAGGGTCCAAGCCACCCATATACTGCCAAAAGCACCAATTGCTTCCAAGGCGACCCATTGACAAGGAAAACGAACCTAAATTTTCAGAATATCAGAGGAATCATGAATTGTCATAACCCTCAGGGAAGTTTTGCACACATGCAAGAGGACTGCCCTCTTCTTGAGGTGGTCCTATAGTTGCGGGAACCTTTGGGGTAAGGCCACGATCCCACATTTGGAACTCGATCCCACGGTTCCTCTAAAGGAGCTATACTATGAATTGAACTACTGCTCATCTCCTTAGTATTATAGATTTATTTCTTTAGAATATGTTAAACTGTGGTACATATCACATCACGGTATTCTAGAATTATCGTATTAGAAAACTACAATTTAATATCATAGTAAGCCCATTTATGATATTATTAACCTATATTATGGTAGTAAATTGGAGTATCATAACTATAACATTGGTAATAAGCTAAAGCATATGATAATGGATTGAGCAAGCATTGGTGGATCCTAATTAATTGAACTCGTTTTATGTATAGTGGAGGTTAGATCCCTCCAGGTCAAAACCTAGATCCCAGCAACATGGGATCTCACTCTTCGGTATCCTAGGATCTAGTTCATTAACTTGTTGAATGTGCAGAAGTCAATTCTGATCCTAAGGAGCTTCCACCCTATGGCAGTTCATCTTTCCCTGACCCGATCCCGCTCCCACCTCCAACAACTGTGGGTGGTTCCCCTATCCTCTAATGTTCCAAGTGAGGATTTTCATTTAGAACTACGGGACAAGGCCAAATGCCTAGAGGAAGAAGGGGGAAGGGGGAGCTCAAGAAGAGCATCCACATTGAGGTTTGGTTGGAGACTAGTTCCATGACACCCTTGTCTTTGACCTTTCCAACTCTCAAGTGAAGGATGTCAGTGATGTCAATTAGGGATCATCATAGGAGAAGCCCATTTCTTCAAAAACTTCTTCAATGTGTGGTTCTTCTCGATCAATCGTCTTGAGCTCCTTGTAATCAAGCGAAGATTGAGAGAGTAAACAGTTGTTGTAGTGTTCTCGATAACGTTTGGAGTTAGACCTTCTTAGGCAGTTGAGGAAGGCGAATGGGCAGCCAAGGAAGGAGAGACCACGAGGTAGAGAAGAAAAAGAGGCGAAGCAAACCTAGCCAATTGGGTGGAAGAAGATGGGGGAGAAGTATGGGCTAGACAAACATGGGCTAACGAAGTGTGTGGAGGCGATTGGGCAACGCACTATGCTAAACAAGGAGGGAGAAATGGAGGGATTGCGACCCGGTTGAGTTATTCCCATGGCAAGGAAGCCCCCCCTGACAGATGAAAGTTAGAGTTACTGGGACTAGGACTTCGGGATCAAGAGATGCATGAAGATATGTGGGATAATGATGGAGATTCGTACATCATGAGTTAATCGTGACCCCAATATGAAGGAGCGCGATCCATATTTCTCCAGGATCAAATGATAAAGTATATGGGATCAAGGTCCATCCAACTTTGAATCGAGGCTCCCCAAGTAAAGTACTCTAGCTTGGGAATAAAGTCTGTTAAACTATATGATTGATGTTTTTTCAGAATTCAAAGCCAAAGTATCATTAAATAGAAGGAATCCTATTTTTAAAATATTTTTTAACCTTTTTGTTATCATTGGAGTGTGTTTCATAAGTGAGATGTGAAACTCAAAAGTGAGAAGTGAAACTCAAAACTAAGAATTCGGATTCCAATTTCAGTCCTCAGGCATTAAAAAACTCTAGTGTCTGATGGAAATGCGATGTCCTTGTTTTCACTCGTTTTCGACCTTTCACTTACATGCATCTGGGCAAGCATTTTCTAGATTCAGAGGGGAAAAAAGGGTCTAGAGGCAAAGAAAGGGTCAACCTGCAAATGTCTCTGCAATAGTGGATATGGTCAATTAGAGGGCATCATATACAAAGATCAATTGCACAAAGCTTATAGAAGAGAGAGCTACAGAGAAAGTGAGAAAGAGAGAGATCGTTACCAGCACAAGGCTCCATTCGTGCCCAAGGACTTATTATGTATTACATTACCATATTGGTTTTTTAATATCAATACCCATTTATGAAATCTTACTCCGTCAATAACAAAAGGTCTAAGAGATTTTCAATGACATGATTCCTGTTTACATTGATACTCAGGTTTGTGAATTCGGAAAAAAGTTAAAACTATTGTTAATGGAATTTGCTTCCAGAATACAATACAGTGGATACTTGAGCTTCAAGAACCTCAAACATAACACGACGAAATGCAATCCCATCCTGTAAAGGATCCGCTCCTTTGCAGATATAGAACTCGATCCCTAAATGTCGGGGATCTCGATCCCTATATTTGCTTATGTACGGAACTCGTTCCTTCGACCACAAAACTTCGCGGCTTCCTTGCTCCGTGCTTCCATTCCTGATCCTAGAGCTTTTTTGGCTCCCACCCTGGGTAACTGTGTAAAACACCTGGGTCTAGATGTCTCAACAAGGAGAAGGAGAAGGTATTAAAGGGGGCAGGAGAAGCCCGTGGAAGATAGATTTTTAGTCTCCCAAAAGTGTATGCCATTGGGCTAAAGAGGGGGAGGAGAGATAGAGAGTATTGATCAATGATTTAGAAGAAGAGGCAGTATTAAAGGGAGCAGGAGAAGGTATGGTGGAGCATTGAATAGGGTTGTTACAGAATATAGGTGAAGAAGAGGATTATGGAATCAGACCCCAACAATAGTCCAAAAGATGTCCGCTAAAGCAGTGAACGCATAATCAATTTTGTCCTCAATCCAACACAAGGTTGCATCTTGACACATGCACATACAAACAAGCATATGCACATGCAAACACAAGGTTCCAAGAAACCTGTTATAACAGCAATGGCGCAGCCATTAATGCAGACAATGCTGTTATTTTCACAACTACCACTCTCACAGGATTTAAATTACAGTAATAATGGTAATGACCCCGGCCATCACACCATATGACACATTTTTAACCACCATATGTACACATGTATGTGCAAGCTTGTGGATTGTGCCATGTTCCAAGTAGATAATTAGATGTACAATGGATGAGGTTGGCATACCACCCATAGGGAAAGGTGAGCAGGAAGTCTCCACTTGCCCCTGATCCCAAAATGTTCAGTGGAAGGAGACCACCATTTTTCAGGAAGGCAAACCACCCAAACGCTTCAAAAGACTCATCAGACAAAAAGGAATGAGGAAAACTAGGAGGCCGAGGTGATCAAAATACTCAAACTTCAAGGGGATCAATCCTATGATGTAGTAAACAGTACCATTTGGTACATAATCACAAAAGGCACGAGCTTGATGACTCTAACTTACCCTACAGGAGGATCTAACGAAGCTCCTCTTACGTGCATTAAATGGATGCATAGTTATTAAAATTGATTTGCAGAATATAGTCAGTCCCTGGACCTTGAAGAAGACAACATTACAAAACCATATATTTTTTAATTTAAAGATTTACAACTTGTGCATCCCTTGAAAAGCTCATGTAGTATAGTGCAAGCCTTTCTTATAGAGAAGGTCTTTTCATGCTCCAGTCGTTCACAAGAGCTCATTGAACACACGCCATTGCTTGGTCTGAACTCCATGACAATACACGCCCTTGCCAAGCAATACATGGTTTCTTTTCTGACATTTCATAGTTATAAGATTGTGGAGATAAGTGATATTCACAAATCCAATTAGTAGGAGCCATTTCCATACTATACAAAGGGAGGAATACCTGCCAAAAATTTGTTTTCATCAAAAGGGAGAAAAGGTTTTGTGCTAACCAACGAAAGAGCAGCCAGGAGTCGCTCCCCAGCATTATTCATTTCATGCAAGTCGAGAACCTGTAGGATCAAAATCTTTCTTTAATTGAAAGAAACATGGATGCCTAAGAGTAAAACATAAACATCATATATATATATTAGATGATTAAGGGATGATTTTATTTCTAATCTCCCAAGTTCATAACACCAAAACCAATTCAAACATGATAGATTAAAAAGACATGAATTACAATGTAGGCAGCACCACAATCAACATGGCAAAACTAGGTCCCATAAAGCACTGTATGCAGCACAATCCTCCACTCAAAGTTTGCAACAAGCTAAACAATCTGATGCATAAACATCTATCAATCTCCACACTTTCGGATGCCTCTAAAGAAACTATCCCACATAGCCCCCATAAATGAAGCCTGCCACATCTACTACAGCTCAAGAGGTCCTACTCATAACATTTCAACAGAGGTAAGTACAAACGTATGTGCATTTATGCATCATAGTACCAATTTTCTGAAATCAACTTAAAAACTATGCCCAAGTGAACACGACTAAGGCAACAGCATGTAGCTCAAAACATTGGATGATCACTAGCTCAGTAATATGCCAAGTTAGAAATGAACTATTTTCACTGACCAAGCCAACTATGGGGCAAAGTAATTCTCAAGATCGCAAACATTTAAAACCATTTTTCGTTGTTTTTAAGTTTCCATTCATTGCAAATTCATTAAGATTTTATTTTTGTTTTGTAGGTGGGTTCAGTGTGGTTACCTTTTAGGGCACCAAGATTATTGGCTTTCAATGGCATAAAAAAGTCAAATTTAGAAATGTAAGCGAGCCAGTTTGGGCTGGGCTAAGGTCAAGGACCGGAGACCCAAGGACCCTACCCGAGACCCCACAAGGCCCAAAGCAAGCCGGCCTAGGAAAACCCATTATAAAATAGTAAAGAACGTGCCCAGCTCGTTTGTATTGTTACATTTTTATGACATAAGAAATCAATTTGTTCACAGGCTAGAAAAGCAACTCTTTTACCGAAATTTCCAAATTCGACCCCTAGGACTGCCAGAAAAAATGTTCAAAAAAATGCTGATCTGGATTAGGAATTGCATATCCAAATCAAGAATCGGGGCAAGCGTATCAATTTTCAATCAATATCAGCGACTCACTAATTTGTATAATATAATGCACAACTTTTATGGTTGATTTGGCAGCCCATTCATATGTCTCTCAATGTCAAATTAACATTTTTTATTTTTGCGCTCAATGTTTAGAACAATAATAATAAGAGCAAAGCTAAATTCAGATAGAAAGAATGCATGATTTGGTAACCCATGGATTAAACTTTCTCGACGTCGGAGTTTCGAACCTCAAGGGCACCACTTTCTAATATATCATTATTGTTTATTATTATTAAAAAAACAGAACATATCATTACAAGAGCCAAAGAAACCATAAATATTTGGTAAAACGGGGGCTCAAAAAAAGTATGGAATGTCAATTATTAGAATGCGTAGATATAAATATCGTTGAACCGAATGATCCAAGATTTGGATCAGTGGGTGGGTAATCCAACCCAGCGATCCATTTTTTAAAACACTCACCAAAACAATTATACTTTTTCTTAATATAAGAACTCAAATTTTTAATAATCCACCTATGTTTTAATTGTGTCATCATACGTATTCATCATCATAGCCTTTTCCCAATTAATTGGGGTCGGCTACACGAATCCTGATCCGTCATTCTACTCTATTAAAGGCCATATCCTCAATGAGGCCATAAGTCTTCATATCTTTCCGAACTACTTCCAACCACGTTGTCTTTTTAAGTCCTTCTACTTGAACTAACTTGCACCTTCTAAAAAGTGTAGTACTTGATCGGCACTACACATGGCTAGCCCACCTAAGTCTACTCTCTCTCATCTTATTGCCTATTGGTGCCACACCTAAATTCTCTTGAATGGATTCATTTC